AAGCTGTACACTATGGATTACAAGTAATCATTGGCAAATGCTATTCACATTAATCTGTTCATAATATACCACATACACACCTGCATCATTTGATCTTTCTCAACATACTTTTCATTGTTTTCATTAAGTTTCATTGTTGTTGTGGTAAATATTTCATAAGGATTGACTTGGTTAATTTTCTCATCTATTAAAATATAATTTGCTTTAATTATTTTCAGACTAAAAGATCTTGGTAACAGTTTATAGATTGTTGAGGTGATGAGAATGTTTGGTATATGTGCTAAAATCAACACTTATTTATTTTAGTGCTACCATCTCCATTTTGTTTTTAGTTGAATGTGCAATGAATTTGTGCAATTTATTTGATAGCTTATTTTGGTGTTATTTATGTAGTTATAGAAAAATATTTTCTTTGAATTTTGTATCCTACAGAAAGTTGAGAGTATCCCTGATTAATTAGTCCTGTATTTCTAAGCTGATTCAAGGGAGATTACTTAAATTTTTTAAAGGAAAATTGACCTAATTCAATTTGTTTTTTTATAAGAGTAATCACATCCAATTTATTAATTTAATTTTCAAGAAGAAAACTTGTTCTGTTATAATTCTCAAAAGATATAGTTTCTCAATTGAACTGTAATTAAATGTAAATACTGTTTTTGTTTTAAATTTATTTAATTAAAATTAAAAATGTTCTGTCAATTTAAAAAAAAAAATTGTTCTGTCATAATTGTCAAAAATAACAGTTTTTAATTGAACTATGATCAAGTGTAAATAGTGTTTTTTTTTTAAATGTATGAATTTAATTTAACAAATCTTTTGTTCTATCAATTTAGGTGATGATTAAAATTGTTTTTTGAAACAATGGTCATTTTTTTTCTGGAGCCCTGCAGTTTAACACTATAATTTATTAAAAAAAACAAAACATAGAACTTCCTGGGAACCCATTCAAATCAAATCTGTGGGTCCCAGGAGTCACTAAATTAAAAAGCTATCAACATCACTGACCAGTCCACAAAGTTTGGAGAAGGATGGTCCTTGTTGACACCTACATGCTTCATTTGCTTCAAGCCATTTTAAACAATCAATCTGAGAGAATGGTTGTATACAACTGAAATTTTAGATATTTCTGAATGAGTTTGGTACCATGCAGGGCATTTTGATCTGACGAGACTTAAGAACAAGACCTGAATTTTTAGGCTAATAGTTTGGTTTTGTAGCAACTTGTGATAATGGACAAAGCAATCACTAGCACAGACTATTCTATATTCAATTACTTTATCTTCTGTTTCATTTTAACCTCAACCTTATCTCGAATACCAATTTTTTATCAAATAGGTTATGCAAGTTATTCTCAGATTTCAAATATGTCAGTCAGAATTAACTGCTTACAAAAATCAGGAGAGATTGATTTTATCAACATCTATGTCAATTAGATATGGACATTTGAAAGTTATCAAATCAATACAACAAACACAATAACAATCACTTAATTGTATATATTTTTAGAAATGTAAAACAACACTGGACATACATATTGACACAAGAAAGATTATAACCAAAAATTATATTGATATTATCACATCTCAGTATTCATGCTTTTTACATAGAATTTAAAAAAAGTAAAAATAAAAATTTAAAAAAATCATTATTTTCGTTTCGTTATAAAAGTCACTAAGGGACATAACTTGGTCGACGAATGTATACAAAAAGAAAAACATCAATATACTTTTGTTTTAAATCTAAAGATTTTTTTTTTCTCAGAAATTGCACTCATTCTTTGTGCGGTAGATATTGGTTTTTCCATGGTTTTTAGCAGATCAAATTATACACCTGAAGAAGGCTGGGGAAAAGGACAATGTTTAACCTTCATGTCAACAAAAACAATATATCAAAACAACAGTTATATTCACTTGACACTGCTATTGATTCTTGATTCCCTAGGTAATGCTTTGTTTTAAAAACCAACAATTAGAATTTTAATAAAACCCAAACATATGAAAAAGGATTTATTTTCTTTATTCTTGAGAATTGACAAAGATATTAAACACTATTTATGTACTAGATTGAATAAAAAGAAATAGTTATTTTTAAATTGATAAATAATAAATATAGCTGGTTTACATATATTTTGATAATCTTGTAATTTTTTATAATTTTTTGAATAAAGATTTCTTTTCGTTTGGTTTGTATTACAGCATATATGGGTTACTTAATGCCAACAAAATTTTTATTGCTGGTAATTTTTTTTTTTTTTTACAAATAAGTATTTCTGGTATTAAAACCTATTTCTACACTTTCATAGTGTTTTGACTCCATTTTAGGGGTTACCTATTTGCCCATAGCTGGGACCCTAACAGGTTCTACCACCCCAGATCAGCGTGGACCTGGGAACAAGAGGTCTTGCTGTTGGACTTAGTTTATCGTCCTATCCAGGATGTAGATGTAGTTTATCATACCTAGGATGGGATTTTTTTCAAATTTATTTCTTAATAAAATTAAATAATATCGCATTGTAGTTGGCTCAAATATTTTTATAATTTTGTAAATAAATATTGCTGAGGGAGTCAAAAGTGAATACAGTAATATAGTGGTGTCAAAGAAATAACCATCCTTTTGACACAGCATTTTTTGCAGGCACAAAAGTTAAACAGTGCAAAGAATAGATAGGCCAAAAGACTGTAGTAAAAAAAATCAGCAACACAAAAAAAGGTTTGTACTTTTTTAAAATAAATCTTGGAATGCTAATGACTTTTAAAGTATAGACACCATTTTTAATACCTAGGCATTAATGATATAAATCATCATAGAAGAAGTTAGTGTTGAAAAATAAATGATTCTAGATCAAGGCTTTTCTAAAACACTTAGCAATCACACAAATCATGTCTATCAGGAGGTGAGTATATTAGTCTTAAATTACTTTCTAACTTACAATGCTTAGTAAGGGACTTGTTAGTGATATAATAATTAGTTCATTAACAATTATATCTAATAGTAGGAAACAATATTATTTCTTATTAATAAGAAAGCATAGATCGTGAGGATTTAAACATCCCATTGGATATGATAGTTCAACTGGTGTTTTTTCTATTTTATGATGATTAACGTTGTTAAATTGAAGGTTTTCAGAAATTCTTTAACAAATATCTTGTTAGTATCTATGAAATATATATGAAAGTGTAGGATTATATTGTTGAATATATTTTTCAATTGTTTGCTAGAGTCTCACGATGCAACCAAAGAACCAGACTTAAAGTTCATTATTTACATTATTCTGACTATTGTCTTCATCTTTGTCACCATATTTATTACAACGGTTCGGCCATTGTATGCTCCAGCCTTCTTCAGGTGGTTGGAATGTTGAACTGAAACCTTTATTTTGCTCACTGGGGTAGACTGTTCTAGTTCCACATGCCATGTTGTAATAAATATGGCGACAATATTAGGACAATAGTCCAAATAATGTAAATAATGTACATAATACCTCATCTCAGAAATACAGACAGAGACCTAAAGTTGTTTTAAAATTTTATGGAAACCTAGGAATTTGTTTATATTTTATGAAATTAAGCAAATAATGAGTAAGAGACAATATAGTAAATATGATAAAAATCATGCGATATAACTTTTGAATATTAGCAAATCATTTTTTTTTTTATCGGAATTTCAACATTCCTTATTTTTATAAAGTATCTTCATGCTTTGTTGATGTGTGAATGTTAAAGTCAATTTCTGATTAGTTTATACAGAAATATTTTCTCTTTCAGATTAAGAAATATTAATTGATTTCTAGCATTAGGTATAGGTGTTAATTAGCTTATTATTGGATACTAGCAGTAGAGCCCGGCGTTGCCCGGGGATGTAACAGTAAGAGATAGATCAAGTATCGACCATCATAAAGACTGAAAAATAAAATTGACAAAGATTATTGTTTAAGGTTGACGGACACGCATGTTTAATTAGTTTTTTTTTTGTTTTGTTTTTTTGGGGTTTTTTACGAATTGGTCAAACCCAAACTCAAACAAAATCATTGTTTTCAATCGTTATGAGTCTACCGATTGAATAGAATTTTATTATAAACAATTGTCTTGTAAATGAAATTTTTAAAGCATTCTGAATGTAAAAATAAAGAAAAAAGTGTGCAAGACAATAAGAAACACTACCTGCCAAACAAAGTGAAGTTATGTTGAAATCGGTTGAAAAATGTAGGAAATCCGATCCCATATATAAATGAACACACACACAACCAACCAACCTGGGTTTTATAATAAGTATAACTCGATAACTCGATATTAATATAATTCGATATGAGTTGTCCCCCTTTCATTAATGCCTCTTAATTGTGTTTTCAAATTGATTTTGTACAAAAACAATTGTATTTTTCCAATTTTTGGCGCTGTCAGAACCACCGCAAGGTAATTTTACGTAGTCCTGTGAAGTTTTGTTGAAATCGGTTGAAAAATGTAGGAAATCCGATCCAATATATAAACGTACAGACACACACACACACAATCTGCGTTTTATAATAAGTAAGATCACTAACAAGCCTCTTACTAATCATTTTCAAGAATTCTAGCTTAGTAAATAATTTAGAGCTAACATATTCACATCCAGTCAGAGACACAAGCAGCAATGAAATAATTTGAAAGAGGCTTGTTTTAGAAATAAAGATTTCATGATAAAATAAATATTCAAAATAGTAAAGTAGTTCTGCTTTATAAATCAAGTGTAAAAATTTTTTCCAGTTGAATCCATTTCATTCACTTATGTGCTAATACCCCTGGGAAAGGTATTAATCCTCTTCTTCCCCCAGCTATGGGTAAATAGCAGGACAGACCGGGTTCTATAGCCTTGGATGACAACTGGTCTACAGCAGAAAGAAATGGCAACCTACTGCAGGAAAAAAAATCTGTCTCATCAGTCATATATCAAAAGATATATGATTACCTAAGTGTGTCTCACACATGGCACATAACTGATTGATGTGAACACTTACAGCCATATGTTGAAACACCGGTTCCCATCCAATCACTAAAGTTGAGCAATGTTGAGCCTGGTTAATAGCTAGATGGGTGACTATCTGGGAATTCCAGGTGCTGTAAGGGCCTACCAACATGCACTCGGCCAGGGTGGTAGAGTAATGGCCCATTCCTCTCAATGAACAGCAAGAAAAAGCTCTGGGGTGGACTACACCCAACAAAATACTTTCACAGAGTGATTAAGATAAGATTAAAATAAGATAAGGTGAAAAAAACATTTGTTTAAGTCAGTTTTGTGCACTTTTATTAAACTAGGTAAAATAAAAACAAAAACAAAACAAAAAACATGTTTATTAATGAAAAACTAAACTGGTTCCCTTTCCAAATTTTCCTGGTGAGTAGAATGACTAAACAACTGGCAGAATTAAAAACAAGACCTGTCAAATGACAGATGAACCTTCTTGTAAGGTAAATAACCATCTAGCACAATGGGACAGACTGAACATCATAGCTATACCAACTATATTAACGCTGCATGGAGCGTGGAGGGTTCCCCAAATGGAATCAATGGCTATTTTTCCATAATCAAGACGGGCCTTCAAATTAAAATACATTGGCTGTGGTTTAAACTGTGAAATAAGCTCTACCTTGTTGGCTTACCCAAGACATGCTATGCATAAATAAATACTCCTCCAGCTTTCATCCCAAATATGTGGAGGGAAGTGGTTTGGTACTCAGTAACCCTATGACTACATCTAGCTTGTGTACTTGATTAAGTGTACCCTCTGGCAGGATTTGAATATGGATCTTCCTTCGTAAGAGAAACTACTGTCTAATCTGATGTACCATGTCTGCTCAGCTATGAAGAGCTTCACGATCAAGCAAGGTTCAGTTTTGACTTTAAAGCATATTCAATGGTTTGGATTTTTCTCAAAACATACAGTGGTGGAAATAAGTATAAGACACCCCATGAAATTATTAATAATTTTCTTATTACTGCACAAATTCCTCTGAAAATTTGCATGTGGTACCTAGATCTGATGGTATATACATATTCGATTTTATAACAATTTTCCACCAAAAAAGTTATTAAGTTATTAAGAAAAATACATTTTCAAGAGCAGAATAATTATAAGACAGTTTTGAAAATTTGTATTTAACAGCAAAATTCAATATTTACATTTATTGCCTTTCAATTGTAATACTTCAACACACCTGTTTTGAATTAAATCAATAAGTTTTCTGAGAGTTTCAGATGGAAATTCATTCCAATACTGTTTAATGCAAGATTTTAAACTTCCTCTATCTTCAAATTGATGTTTATTTTTGTATACTCTTGACAAAATTCCCCACAAATTTTCTATTGGGTTTAAATCTGGAGACTTAGTGGGCCAGTCCAAAACTTCAATATTTTTTTTGTTTTAAACCAGTCTTTCATGAGCTTAGAAGTGTGTATGTCTGCATTGTCCTGTTGAAAAATGGCAATATTGGTGTCTAGATGATTCATAAATGGGACAAGCCTTTTTTCCAACACAATGTTATATTGAGCAGAGTTTTGTTTCCCTTTCATCACTACTAAATCTGCCCAGACGTAGAAAAAGCTCCTCAAATCATAACAGATACTCCTTCCTTTTTGAAAATAGCTGCTTCTCTTTTCTTAAATCATGCCAACAACACTGGTAGCCGTTGGACCCATCTACATTAAACTTTTTCTCATCAGAAAACACCACAGTTTCCCATTTCTCCATGTTACTTTTTTCTTCACCCAATCTACATGCCTCTTGTGTTTAGCAGTTAAAGCAGAGATTATCTTCCTGTTTCAATAGATTTGGCTATTCATGGAAAAGTTGATGAACTCTTCTTAGAGTGATGGATAAATTCTGAGATTTTTGCAGATCTCTTGAGCTTGATTGTCCTTTAGAAGCTTCTTGAAAAAGTCAACGTCTGGCTGCATTTGTAATTTTAGGTGGACAACCTAGACGTTTTCTGGTGCCATACAATTCAGGGTCCTTTAGATAATTTCTCACAACCGTTCAGGACCTCAACAGTTCTCTTGCAATGAAACTTATAGATTTTCTTTCCAGTTTATAGGCAGAAATTTGCCCTTTTTCATTAAGGGGAGAGTTCCTAGGCATTTTTCAGTAACTGTATTCAATTATGAAATGTTTAAATAGGACTCACATGGCTTAAAATCATGATGAGAGTCTTTTTATAATCTGTGCATGCACTTATACTTCCTTTGGCATTCTGAAGTAAACCAGATATGCAAATTTTCTGAACTTGAAGACAGTTTTGTTAATACCCTTTTTTCGGTGGAAAGTTGTTATAAAATTGAATATGTATACTAATACCTATTGGATCTAGTACCATGCACAAATTTTCAGAGAAATTTGTGCAGTAATGAGAAAATTATTAACAATTTCATGGGGTGTGTCTTATTTCCACCACTGTATATGCTCCATTTTATATCTGAAATGTAAACAAAGCAATTTCTGAAGAATTTATGGATTTTATTTTTTAATCCAATAAATCTTTATTACTTCAAGTGTTATTTGAAGCATGTTTGAAGTAATATTCTTAATGATGGAATCATACATACGAAGAGGTTGGGCTTGGTTTGGTTTGGTTCGTTTTATGGTATATCAACCTCAATGGGTTATTTAATGCCAACAAAATTTTTATTGCTGGTAATATATTTTTTTCTCAAAACTGTATTTCTGGTAATATTTTTTCCTTCAAATATTTCTGGTAATACTTTTTTTCAAAAATGTATAGTTAGTAATATTTTTTTCCAAAAATGTAATGCTGTTAATAATATATTGCTGGTAATAATCTCTTCAAAAATCCATTGTTGCCAATAATTCTTTACAAAGTGTTTCTGGTATTAAAACCTATCTTTAAACTTTCATAGTGTTTTGATCCCAGTTTGGAGGTTAATTATTTGTCCATATCTGGGACCCTAACACGTGCTACCACCCTGGGTCAGGGTGGACCTGAAAACACCAGCAATTAAGAGGTGGTTCCATGCTCCTCAAAACCTCCTGATCACAGGCCTTGCTGTTAGACATAGTTTATCATCTTATCTAGGATGCGGATGTAGTTTATTGTCATACCCAGAACAGACATATGAAGAGGAGATATAAACGTAAGTATCAGTTTTAATTATGCATCGAGGAGAAAACCTGAAGGGGTACAAATGCTAGATTTTAATTTTGTTTTTTTTAATTTTCAATTTTAGAATTCCTAGCATCCAACATGTCTAGATACACAGCTCTGTAAATTTAATTTGGTTTCCCAACACTTTGTTTAAAAAAAAGAAAGAAAAGTTTTTAAGTATCTCCTATCATGACAATAAAATAGTTGTTACAGTGAAATCTAAGAATCTGAATGTGTTACATAGAAGATATAATAGTATCCAAAACAAAAATGAAAATAATGAGACAAAGTAGAAAAGTTTAATAATGCATTTTGATGACGACGTGTTAGGTTCAGCATCTTTGGGTTGGAATGAAAGAAAACTGTGTGTAAGGAAACTGCATTGGGATTTTTGAGGATAAGAAGGGCAATAAATTAAGTTACCTTATGAAATCCAGAGACCAGTGGATTTTTGATAAACAGCAAGTTATATATCCTTATATATGTATATTAACATGATGTTGAGAAATAATACGTACATATGAGAATATACAACATAAGGCCTCTCAAAAATCCACAGTTAATAACAATCTTATACACTTCTACTCCCATCACAATAATAAAGTCCAGAGTAATCATAGGTTTTTACTTAAGTGCTCTTAGAATCTGTAGCTTACCGTTCCTCTCAAGAAAGAAAAATATATTGAAAACACTTTCAAATTCCTCCAATATCTTAATTATTTCTTGTACAATGCCAAACACAAAGCCTACAAAATCCACAAAAGAAATCCACAAAATTATAATAACTCCAACAACCATAACAAAAATAGGCACATAATCCTACCAACCAACTGTATAACAGCCATCACTGAAAATAACTTAGCCAACCTTAAAATTCATCAACAACACCACTAAAACAATAAGAGATATAGTTAGTATCAAATGGGGTAGCAAGAAAAACAGGACAAGTGCAAAAATATACAAAATAGATTGTACAAAATGCCCAAGGGTGAAATATCAGTGAAATATCCAGAAACTTCCAAAACAGACAATATGAATATCACAGAGATATGCTGTATAGCAACACTTTAAACACACTGGTTGTTCACCACAATACATCTAATCATAATTTTAACTTAATAACTGCCAGTTTGATCAGGAAAGAAAAGGATTCATTAAGAAGAATATGCATTGAGAATGTATTAATCTCACAATTCTCAACTATAAACTAAGACCAGGACCATACATAATATCACCGATCATTGCAAAAGTAATAGTAGCACAATATGGCATATGAACTAATAGAGAAAAATAAATGATTATTCAGATTGTGTAACAGACACCAAATGCTCTAATATATACATATAAAAAATATAAAACAAACTCTTTCAGATCCATGATCATAGACTCTGGTAAGGTAATTTAATTTATTGGACATCTTATCCTCAAAAATCCCAATGCATCTTCTTTACACACAATTCTGTCTTTCATTCCAACCTGAAGAAGCCAAATCTAATACGTTACGTCAACAAAATGTGTCATTAAAAAGCTTTTCCACTTTGTCTCATTGATTTTTCTTTCAATTACTATTATATATCCTACAAGCATGTATATATATATATATATATATATATATATACACACATATCGTCATCCACTAACAGACTGTTTCACAGCTCCTCAGTGCAGCTAGACATCCGATTGCATGAAGTTAGGACCAAAACTCAACCGATTTGGTATCAGTTGAAGATTCTAAGCTCTAGGCTATCGATGCTCAGCAGAAAGAAAGGCAAATTTTTGTGTATTTATTTTTTTCATAATCATGCCAGTGACCTATAGGACTCAATCCGTTGGGAGAGTCTCGCATTATTAGTCACCATTTACAAATATGCAAGAAGATCCAATACAAACATTTCAGAGTGTTTGGGTGTCAATCCGAGGATAGTGCAGAAGATTTGGAAAGAGTGAGATGATAGATCCAATCAACA